GAAAACCAAAAGGGAAGAACACGGTCAGCATTTCTCAAGCTGGGGGAACTGAAGAAAAAATTCAAGCCTCTACTTTCGTTATTGAAAGATTCTCTGGGCAAATTATTGAATGATGCTGAATGCATCAAGAAAAGATGGAAGGAACACACAGAGTCATTGTACCAAAAGGAAATGGTTAATGTTCAACCATTTCAAGAGGTACATGCATATGAGGCTATTGAAAATACCATGGCTTGGGTCAGGTGCACCTTAGTCCTCAAACTGACATCTTTGGTCTTGAATACTTTAAAGGCATCTTGTGCTGCAGATCTGCCTAATGCAAACTCCTGGAACCCTGCTTTATTGCTGTCACGCCAACGAAATGATACATGGAGGAACATGTAAAATTCTGGCCTCAGAGTCTTTCAAGATTAATAACCATTTCAAAGCAGGCCAATTTAATTGGGTTTGGTAATATGGTCATTATATCCCCATTGAAATATTGGAACTATAACATTTAGTATTTTGCCCTCTGTGTTTTTAAAAATCACAGGTATACTAAGCTAGTGCTGTCAGAGTTCAGTTTACTTGGACTAATTATAATGCCTCCTGTATATCTGACACTTTCAACCTTTCCAAGTGTCCTCATTTCAGTTTCTAGTTTTATCATTATTATAACCCTATATGATGGGAATGAAAAGTATATCTTCTCTTTTCAGATGAGGAAACCAAAGAAGTAAGGTTAGGAGTGAAGTGCATAACTGTTTTCACCACTCAGGAACACCAATGTAGCTCGGATTAATATTTCTATTGGATGAAAACCCCAAATAATGAAATCCACTGCCATTGATTGGTTTCTGACTCATAGCGATCCTTTGGGACACAGTAGAACTGCTCTGTAAGGTTTCTGAGTAGAACTGTACTGTAAGGTTTCTGAGACTGGAAATCTTTACAGAAGCAGAATGCTTCCATCTTTCTTCCACAGAGCAGATGGTGGGCTTGAACCTTTCGGTTAGCAGCCAAGAACTTAACTACTTTGCCACCAGGGCTCCTTTTCTATTGGACAATATGGGTCTATATGATCCTTCCTTCTTGTGTTGTTAAGTGTTGTCAAGTCAATTCTGACCCATAGCAACCCTGTATAGGATTTCCAAGGAGCAGCTGGTGAGCTTGAACCACCAACCTTACAGTTCAAACGACTTAGCAGTCTGACATTAGCCCACAGTGCCACGCCAGGACTCCAATCCTACCTTGTATACATCTTTAAATACTTCTCTTTTTAAAGTTGGAGTCCTGGCGTGGCGCTGTGGGTTAATGGACGGGACTGCAAAGTCGGTTTGAACTGAAAGGTCAGCAGTTCAAACTTACCAGCTGCTCCTCGGAAGCCTAATACAGGGTTGCTATGGGTTGGAACCGACTCGATACTACTTAACAACAAACAACAAAATTTTAAAGCCTAGTGCCAACTTAGTTTTCTTAACCATTATATCTATTTTACTCAATTCTATAGACATTTGTTGAGTACCCTCAGTGTGCAATAGGAAGAAGAACAAACTGCCCATTTCCATCCTACATTGGCTCATAATAGAGGCCAACAAATAAAATGAGCACAAATATCTAAAATTACTGAAAAATTGGGGTATTAGAGCACAGAATGGAGAGAATAGTGCCAATTGGGGGCTAAGAAAGGAGAATTTGGGCCTTGAAAGATGTATTTTTTAAAAAACAAACCCCCAAACAAAACCCATTACCATTGAGTATTGTTGTTGTTAGGTGCCATCAAGTTGGTACCGACTCATAGCGACCCTATGCACAGCAGAACAAAACACTGACCGATCCTGGGCCAACCTCACTACTGTTGCCACGCTTGAGTCCATCAATGCTGCCACTTGGCTGATCCATCTCGTTGGGGGTCTTCCTCTTTATCTCTGACCCTCCACTTTACCAAACATGATATCCTTCTCCAGCAACTAGTCCCTCCTGACAATATGTTTGGCCAAAAGCAAAGATTTTTTATTTGGGAATTTCAGGAGGAACATGCCAAGGAGTTTTTATTTTATCCTGTCAGATCTAGGGAACCAGTGAATATTTGAGCAGGAGAGTAATGTCAGAGTTGTGGTTTAGGAAGATTATTTATCAGCAATTTGTCAGAACTGGTTAGAGCTAGAAGAAATTGGAGATACAAAAGGTAGACACTAACAGGGACCACAAGGGGGAGATGTATAGCTTTCTGCTTCATCACTAACAGCGAGTATGCACTTAAAAGACATACATAAAATTAAAAATTACAGTGCAGTTGCAAATTTCATAGAGTATGTCCTTGTATATGAGCTCACTTAATGTTCTGAGGCATGAGAGGCAAACTATGAATTTAT